AAACAGCTCAAGGCTGCCCTTATGCGTATCCCTTGAGGGGGAACCAGGACCCTGCCCCAAGGCTGCACTATTGTTTCTTTCACCGGGTCCTCCCTTGTCTCCACATTCCCTCCCTTCCCTAATTAGCATCTGTTTGAACCTGCTGCTTGGAACTCAGGGAAGGTCATGGAGGCTGAATGAAGCCTATTTCCTATACTCAAGAAATGAGAAATGGGGGGACACAGAAAGGCTTTTGTGCCCACGAGCCCCACCGTGTCCTGCTCAGTATCATGACCTGGACTCCAAACACCACTAAGGGGTCTACAGAGGGAGAACATTCATCTGCCAGGAGGCAATGTGGGGGGAACCCTGGGGAAAGGACAAGGGGCTGAGTCATGGCAGGACTATTTGACTCAGCCACTCTCTGAGGCCACTTCAAGAAGGCAAATGTCCAAACTGCTGCATCAAAATGCAAAGCAGACAGAGACACCGAACTGGTGCTCAGACGTGGACGGTCCTCACTCCCAGCCCTCACCCTGACTGGGGGAACTTTCACATTCAACCCTCGTCATTTGTACATCATTTGGATTTTTAAGATATTTAAATAAGTTGAAATGAAACAAATCATTTTTAAAGTCTAACGACTGCTTGCTAGCTGCCTCGGTTAGCTATTCCTATGTAAGGTGGAATTTGAGACAGATCTCACAGCCTTGTGTGAACAAGGAAGTGACCGCCTTTTGTGAGATGGGTCTTTATCTGTCATGGCTTCAAGTCCTTCTGTCTTTCTTCGTGCAGCAAAAGCTGGAGGAACTTTGTATGTTCTTGCTGCTAACAAGCGCTGGCAAGTACAAGCTGACCCCTGCTTCCTTCGACAGCAAATAGGTGGAAATACATAAGGCACTTAACCTCCTTCACTATTTCTCAAGATGAAATAATCACAGATACAGCAGTTTAGAAAGATCACATCACAGACGTCTGAGCAATAGCATGTACTTTTCATGTGGCAAAAGCATTCATCCTCATGGTGGCCGTCAGAATTCAAGGTCACCACGCACACTAGCTGCTGAGAGTCTTAGAAAGGGAAACCTTTCTAAAGGGCTCCAACTGAGCCCTCCTCTGCGGAGCAGTTGTTCCCTGGTTCACTGTGATAATCACACAGGTAGCAGTAATCACAAGTTGATCAAACCAAGGCAGAGCCAGGGAACCCTGGCGAGTCGCCAGACCTGTGCTGCAGGTGCTCTCCACCCTCTGGTTCTCCCACCAATCTCCCTCAGCACTTTCTCATCAGCCTGTTCTCAGTTCTAAAGTGAATTATATATTTTTTGTCAGTGATAAGAGATGATGCTTCTGAACAAAGTGACCCAAAGGAGCTCCAAGAGGCATCCAGGGCACCTCCCAGCAAGAGAGGTAAGGATTGCCTTTCTCTTGAAGATCTCAGGAGGGTGAATTTGGAGCTGCATCTTATCATAAGCGCCCACTAGGTGGTTATAGTCATCGTGCCCAATACAGTTTGTTTCCCATTCACTGCGTCTTCCTCTGAGGCCTTCATGAATATTATAGGGAAACGAGAAGGCATTTATGGCCATTGAAATATGCACCCATCGGAATTGTTTGTTCTGAAATCATCAAGGTCTCCTACACACACGGCTTCTTATAGGGTTAGTCTCACTTCCCTCTTTAACTGAAAGTTTGTTCCCCAAGAGGACTCTGCTTCCTCTTAAGACAAGGCTGCATATTTTCTACTACCACTCACCCCATGGCTGAAGGCAGGTTGGATGCCACCCCTTGCTACACGCTGCCCCACCCGGCCCCTTGCTCCCCGTCCCCTCCTTTGAGGCTTAGCCATTCAAGTGAAATGCTCACTCCCTTTTCATCACTGTCATCTCTTGACTTTCCCACTGCTCCCTGGAAGAACTCAAGGCTGACTTAGAGTCTTTCTGTCACTTCAAGTCCTGCCATCATCCTGGACATCTTCAAGGTACATGTGGATAACAGACCCATCCAATATCCTGACCTCTCAAATCCTTCTTCTGCTTCTTGCCAGTGACCTTTTCTCCCCACCCATTCTTGCCCTCCCGAACCCAAAGGTGATCCACAGGCCTTTTCATCATTTAAACCTGGCTCAACTTCCCAATAGTTAATTTGAGATTTCCTTTTTTTTTTTTTTGACATTTAATGCTTGAAATTTGCTCCTTCTATAACTATTGCTCAACTTCTGATCTCTCCTTCTCAGCCCAATCTATAAAAATGAATTTGAAAAATCCCCCCCTGATTTCTTCCTTACAGTTTGTTTCCTCTGCAGCTGTCCTTCAATCTCATTTGGGTGACCAGTCCACTGGCCTTTTGCTTCTCCAAGCCATCATCTGCATTTCTTTCATGACCCTTCTTACCAGTTCAGAGTTGAAGATCCATCGTTTCAGTAACCTTCTGCTATCTTCACCTGCCTTGCCTCTCTGTCTTTTCCTAGAACTCTCTGGCAGATGTTCGAGGAAACTGTTGTCTTCTTCCTGCACACTGCATTTGAAATCAGGCACTGCTGGGGACAGACACACAGCTGAGCAGTGCGTACCCACTGTGTCTTCATAATTCCAGCACAAATGATCCCTCTACACTGTGTCACAGCTCCACTTCCTGTGACAATCCTTTCAAACCTTGAGCAATTTTTTCCAAACCTCTGATGCCTCACTGCCTCCTTTTTTGCATGACAGATGACCTTTCCTCCTGTTTCATAGAAAAAATCAGATGGGAATTCCGTCACTTCCTGCTCCCACCCTGCAAACCCCAACTGCTTCTTTCTTCTTTCCAGCTCCTTCTTTTTCTCCAAGGCAATCCTTCCACCTCTTCTGACAGTATCCATGGTCCCTTCTCTTCCCTGAGAATTCAGCATCTCCCTCTCACAAGGACATTCATTCAACCAATGCCCAAGCCTATCACAGTTCATAAAAGGAACTTTCTCTTGATCTTCATCTCACTTCAGCAGCCTCCATAGCTCTCCCCTCCGTTTCACAACCAAACTTCTAGAAATGAGTTACCTAAACTTATTGTCTCCATTTCTTCACTTCTCTCTCTCCTCTGCCACTTTAGAATTTCAGCATCACCTAAGGTCACCAATGACCTCCTGGCCGCTGTGGTTTGAGGACCCAAAATAAAAGCTAAAAATTGTTGACATATGAGGTTAGTAGATCAATGTTTGTAGCTATAAAAGATGACCTGTGTCTTTTCTTTTTAGGAAAGAAGAGAAAAAGAAGTATCTGGTTAACTTCAAGGAAGAGACACCAGAAAAAAAGCCTCCCGAGAGGTAAGATGAGAGCACAAGAGGGGGCTGGAGGCTAGAGACAGCTCATCCTTGTCGGCCATGATGTGGGAGGTGGGATTTTATTCTAAATGCAATGGGGAGCCATTGAAGAGATCTAATCAGTGAAGTGACATGATCCAATTTTAAACGACGAGACCAATATTGGTGTTACATAGAGAATGAATTGGAAATAGAAAAGAATGGAAAGAGGGCAACCCCTTGTGAGGGCAGGTGCCGTGGGAGTTGATAGTAGCCTGGATTCAGTGGAGATAGAAGAAGAGGGTCTATTCGAGATTAGTTGAAGGTAGAGTTGATAAGCCTTGGTAAATTGGAAGCTGGGGATGAGAGAGAGAAATCAAGGCTTGCTCTTCAAGTTCTGGCTTAAATGGCTAGGTGAGTGGTGATGCCGTTGCTGAGAAAGGATGCAAATATATTGGGAGGAAATTTTTAGAATTCAATTTTTGACCTGCTCGTTTCTAGATTTGTGCTAACCGTCTATGCACGTGTGCCAGGTATGTGCTTCGTCAAGTACTGTGAGGCTCTGAGATATTACCCCCTCCTGCAGAGTGATGTTCTTTATGTATATGAATATTGCAGAAACACAAAGCCCCTGGGGCGGGGAAAAGAATTCTTTATTGTTGTTCACAAGCAGCTCAACACGGCAGCATTTTTCCCCTACACGCAGACCCACAGGCTGAGAAGAGAGCTGATGAAATCTTTCTGCGTGAGTGGCAGGTTATACCCTACAGACACAGGAGAAAGCATGATGGATTTTCTGCCCTGTTTATATACAGGACTAGGACAGCCATCCTCTCCTCCTGAAAAGAGAAAACATTTTTTTTGCTGCTTTCCCCTATCTTTATACTGTCTACACTTTTGTGTCTCAGGAGGCTCGGGCTTTTTACAGAAGCACTGAGCGATCAAGGAAACTTAATTTCCCCACAGTGTGCCAATGTGGCACACTCGATAAAAAACCTGGTCCAAAGATACAGATACAAAATTCATTGGCAAAATAGAGGGAGAAGAGAACCCTAACGCTAACACCACCACCCCTCACCTGGCATTGCAAATCCTCTAGGTCCCAGCCTCATTCCCCATGGCAGGGCCCCTGCCTCTCAATTCTTTGATACCTTTCACTTTCCCTACTGGAGGCACCCAGGGACCCCTGGATCCCTCCTGTCTCCTGTATCACACACTGGCCCTAGGGAACCTGGAAAAGTGCTTCACAAGACTCCTCCTCTGCTAAAACAGAGCATCCGGCCATGTTTACTAGGATGTGGCACTTTCTGGCAGCAGGGGTCTCAAGCCAGGAAACAGGAAATCAGCCCCAGTGCTCGGGGATTCCCCCAGATTTATCTGATTGATTTCAAAAGGTTGCACAGAGAGTGAGAGCAGATGGTGAGTTTGGGGGCGGGGGAGGGGGAAAGAAAAGTGTACACAAGAAAAAATATATAATTACGGAGAAATAGCAGGAGAAAAGTGAGGCACAGGGGTATAGAGATCTTAAAGTGAGGGGACTGGGAGTGTGAGAAGGAGGTCACTGTCAGGGGGAGGAGGAGCGCCACTGGGACCCCAGTAAAAACTATTCACAAATCACTGTTTGGCCAGGGGCAGCCTTACCTGGGCATGGAATCCAAACGATGCTCCACGTGGCGGAGCAGGTGACTCACAGGGAGGACGACTCAACCAGGAACACAAAGGTCATGACAAGAGCAAGAAAGAGAAGGACAGAATGTGGCCAAACGCCTGCACCAGAGGGTAAGGCTGGTGATGGAATTTGTCATCTGAATGCTCAGCGTGGGAGGGTCTCTCCTGCAGCCCACAAGAAAGCAATTACCTATTACCATAAATAACATATTTTTAGGAAAAATAAATATATTTTTCAAATAAAAAAATTAGGTGAGTGGTATCATTGTACATTTTTGCAAATCTCTTTAATGTCTACCTTTATCAAAGATGGCTGGATTCTTAAAAAAGAAAAACATTTTTTCACTATCTTTTCCATGTGCTTTCTTAATATTTTTGTATATATCTTCATTGTATTATATTGAAAGCTGAGAGGGAACATTTTTAATAGCATCAATCTATATCTTGTTAACAATTGCTTTCTATTTTTAAAGGTTCTTTCGAATTTTTTTTCTTTTTTCTTAATTGAAATATGTTTGATGTACAGTATTATGTTAATTTCAGGTACACTATATAGTGGTTTGACATTTGCATACACTGTGAAATGATCACCATAATAAGTGTAGTAAGAATCTGTCCCCGTACACAGTTATTACAATATTATTGACCTTATTTCTTATGCTGGATATTATATCCCCATAGCTTATTTATTTTATAATTGGATGTTTGTTCGGGGTTGGCCAAAAAGTTTGTTCAGGTATTTCCTTAACATCTTACAGGAAACCCAAACAAACTTTTTGGCCAGCCCAATACCTCTTAATCTCCTTTACCTATTCCCTGCTCCCCCACCTCCACCATCAAGGACAGCTGGGCTCTGATCCCTGATTCTGTATTCAGTCAATTGTGATTTGTTGCTTTGGTTGAAGTGTAGGAAGAAAATCCAGCCTCACACAGATCCGTAGCTGAAAAAGGTGGAGTATTTTAACAGTCTTTTGAGATATCTGTGGATATTCACTTTTGATACGACACCAAACCTCAACAAGGGATAGTTTCTTAAAGGTTAGTTGTAACATAGAGTCTGAGACCATATACTCTGTTGTAATAAAATGTCTTATGCTGTCTTGTGTTTTGAGTGGATCTTCTACTCATGATTTTATAATATCATAAACAAGTAGAAAATTTTGGTTCACTTAATTTTACAGTGAGCTTGCAACTCAAACAATCACTTGAGTATTAGTCTTGAGACAACATGGTACTTCCAGATGCAGCAAACTGCTTTACATGTCCTACCCAGTTTTTTACATATGCTATTAAAAAGGTGTGTCCTTAAGGGTAGAAATTTAATTAAATTAATAATTTTAACTGTTTCATCAAGAACATTCTTAAATGAAACTGGCCTTTTTTTTCCATGTTGAGTAAGTGGTAGTGAAGAAGGCAATGCTACCTTCTAAGGTTTGGGGACATCGCTTTGATTTGTACTGAGGCACCAGAATTGTCACCTGCCTTGACTGTTGCTTCATCTGTGCAAAAGTCAACATAGCAAAAACAGGCAAAGAACATCTAATTATAAAAACAATTCTGACCTTGAAGGTCTCCTGAAAGTATTGCCGGGGCTCCCCGAAACCTCTGGTCCAGGGGCTCAGATGACTGCCCCCCACTGGACATTCCATTAGTGGAGGAACCACTGCTGACCAGCCTTGCTCTGCTCCTCCCCTGAGTGGCAGACAGGACCAGCGGTAGAATTATTCCCAGGAGGTAGTCGCAGGGTCTCATCAGGACTGGAACCTCCAGCCTTCAGCTCCAGAGTGTGCAAGGTCCTTCCTGGGTCTCTGGGAGATTCCGCGTGGACTTTCTAGAGGGCATTTACTGAGATATAAGATGAATGTTGTTTCTTTTTTCAGAGGTCAGTGATGACACTTCAGAGATGGATGAAAGAAAGAGACCCCAGGAGCTACCCAGCACACCACCAAGACTCACCCACGGTAAAGGTGAGGGATTGCAAGTCTCTCAGTATGGTCATCAGGAGCCCAAACTTAGAGCTGTTTTACTCTGAGTCAGAGTTTCTCAGCCATTTTTTCATTATCACTGCCCATTTAGATATTTTTTCTAATCATGAACCCTACCCCCCAGGATATTTCAATACTACAAGTATATTATATATCCATTTCTGTACTGGATATATTTATTTGTGCTTTATACATAAAAAGAGTTTTTTTCACCCCCAAGAACCAATTTTGGGACAACTTACCACTGCCAAGTATTCATGCTCTAAGTATATTCATGGTACTTTATTGCAGTGCCAAGCCATCCAGGTTTTTCCTAAGATCCCAATCTCCATGTTTCTCACATGACCTTTCTGTGAAAATTGAGATGAGAACAGCTCATCATAAACACAAATGTAATACTATGACGGAGCACGAGCGTCTGACATTGTTGTGGACATACGCTGGAAAAATGGTGCACGTTAATTCACTCCTCACCGTGGCCACTGTTACTCACATTGTTACTGTTATCCTTGGAGGGGAAAAAAAAGCAGAGCATTCTTCTGTTTGCTGGTAATTCAGTCACTGTGTCACATCTTCACAGAACTCCCACACAACAAATGTGACTTTCAAATGACAAATATCTAATTATTGTCAGAAAGAATGAATTATATTTGACCGTATTAAAATACAAACTATCATTTTTAGCAAGTTTTTCCTGCATTACACTGACTCATACAATGTATATTTCTAATTTTATCCTGAATAATATATTTTATTTTCACAACCACCTTTGGAGAAAGTTGAACGATTTATTAAAATTTGAGATGTAAAGGATTAATGGGTTTTCCCAAGAGCCTGTGGATAAAGGCTGGCTGGCACAGGACTAGCATCTTGGTCCCTAGAACCCTCTTCAGGAACCATCATCCTCCTTTATAATGAAAGGGATAGAAATAATACTGTCAAAGCTTTACCAACTCAGTATTGTCTGAAATGAATGTGGTCACAAAACATAAAGATTGCTTATTTAAAAATCGCTTTCTTTCTCATACCTTCTAGATCCCATGGATAAGGGAAGCAAACTGCCTTTGGGAGAATCTCCTGGGGGAAAACGTAAGTGTAAAGAACTTATTTGGTCTCTATTAGGGTGGGTTTGATATTATTTTTACTGGTTTTTATGCCCTTCGGGCTACAAAAGACATCTAAGCCAGAAAAAGATGTGTGCTGTTTTACAGATGTGTGCTTTTCTCAACATAGAAATGTTTTCATACTATAAAAGCAATATGCTGTAACCTTTGAAATTAGCTTGCTGTGTGTGACAGAAAACCACATCATCCCCTCCAAAATAGTGGCTATAAAGAATGTATACATTCTTTATGTATATATATACATGCTCATACTACCTAGTCCATCCTATAAACACTTTAAAACACCTTTTTCGTTGTTGTGTGATTAACAATTTGTTTCAATAATAATCTATTGGTAGTAAGTTAGGCTATATCCAATTGTTATCTGAAAATAGAAATCATATTGTGTGTGTTGGTATCTTTGCACACTTGTCCAATAATTTCCTCAGGATTAATTTCTAAATGCGAGATTACTTGGTTAGAGTCTATATATCTTAAATTTCATATTTGTTACCAAACTGTTCTCCAGAAAATGTATTTGTTTACATTTCCTTTAATAACACACAAGTGTTCATTAACTACATCCTCATCAACCCAGACATGATAAAACTTTTTAAAAGTTTGGGTATAATTAAAACTAAACAATGCATTTTCAGGGGATTATTGGTGATCTAAAGATGCTTTTTAGGGACGTCCCTGGCAGTCCAGTGGTTAAGACTTCGCTTTCCAGTGCAGGGGGTGCAGGTTCGATCCCTTGTCGGGGAGCTAAGATCCCACATGCCTCGGAGCCAAAAAAACCCTAAAACATAAAACAGAAGCAATATTGTAACATATTGAACAAAGATGTTAAAAAAATGGTCCACATCAAAAAAAAAACTTTAAAAAAAAGACACTTTTAAAATAAATGTGTCATTTGTATTTCCTCTTTTAGCACTTCCAATTTATGCTTTTTGCCCACTTTCCCAGCATACTATTCATCTTTTGCTTTATCTATTAAGGACAGTAACCCCCTAACGTTACATATATTGCGATTTTACCCTTTTTCGTTTTAACACTGTGTGGATGATTTTTGAAGTATGGGCATTTAAAATTTTTAAGCCGTCAAATTTGTTCATCTTCTGCCTTTACAATTTGGGTCCTTGGCTAAGGACCTTCCTTCTTTGGCTAAGAAGATCTTTTATATCTATGGCTTATAACAATCTCTCTCTATATTTTCTTCTAGTCTTGAAAAAACTGGTTATTAATTAGAAAATGATATATTTTAATGTTAATAATTTAGTATATCTCTATTACTTCTTTATTCAATCCCTTTTCATTTCCGAGTACTTTCTTCGCATAGGTCTCCTGGTTTTCTTGCCTCCCCAAAGTGATGGGAAGATAGAAAAAAATTTTACTTAAAACGTATTGACATTTCAAGCTTGTAGATCAATATATATAGCTATAAGAGATGATTTTCTTTTCTGTTTTAGGAAGGAAGAGAAAAATACATAACTGGTCAAGTTCAAAAAAAAGACAGAAAAAAAGTCTCCCAAGAGGTAAGCAAGAAGGATGAAGTCGTCATTCCCTTAATGTTCATCAGGGTTCTTCTCTCCAGCCACACGGCCACCCACCCGGGTGTCACTAGAGCACGGCCAGCCCCATCTCGACCCCTAGGTCATCCCATCAAAGGCCCCTCCTCACAAAAGGAGAACCATGTTGATTCCAACAGGTTTCTTTTCTCTTATCACTGGGAAGGAATGGGGTGGAGGTGGGCAGAACGCCTCAGTCAATTTTGAGATTAGGACTGTGTCCAGTGCAAGTTCAGAGCCAGGAAGAATAGACAAAGCAAACCTGAACGTGCGGGCAGGATTCAGACTCCCAGTCCCAAACTGGAGTTAGATTCGTTGTCACTGAGTGTTCAGAACCACCTGAAGCGATGCTTAGCTTGCATTGACTCCATGCGTGACAATCATGTGATTTGCAGTATAAGAAACAGAAATGTATGTCGCTCTGCATTTTTCTGGATCCTCTGCTTTATTCCTTTTTGTGCTCATCACCTTTTCTCCTTCTCCTCTGCATTCTCTCCCTCTTCCCCTTCCCCTCTCCTTTCTCCTTCTTTTTGCTTTAGTTCAAGGTGTGCCGGTTGCTGGGGATCCCCTTGGATTTCCAGACCTTTGAGTGCAGCACCCTGAGAGGGAATCTCCTGTCAGCCCCCAAACATGAATCATGACATGTGTTCCACTGCTTTGGACATTCTCCGAATTTTTCTGTTTGTTTCCAACACCCCTTAATCTTGGGGTTTGACCTGGGTGGGGGCTAGGACCTCCTTGCTCGCCCTTCTCCTCCTCTTGTCACTTTCTCTCAGTCCCCAGCGCCGCCACTCTCTCCTTGTCATATGCTGAGTTCTCTCCACCAACGACTTCTAGGAAAACTTGACACTCAGACCTCTAAGCTTCTCCTGTGGGTATATAAAGGTAATTTTTGAAACAAAGAAATCTCTTTCACTCTCAACAAATTTGTGTTTCAAGATTTAGTGTAGCATCTCCGAAACGGCCTCAGCTGAGCAGTTTCTTCTCAGATCTAGCCAGCATCTGCCCCTTCCCTGAAATTTATTGATTTAATAATTAGGGAACCCTGGACATGACAATGTATAAGGGTGAAAAATACATAATTTGAATATTTTCTAAAACATGCTGCCTGTTACACATTCATTCCGCAGAGATGAATTGAGTTGAGGGGTGTGCTGGCACATGTCCTAGGTTCTGAGGACTCAGCAGTGAGCAAAACAGAAAACTCCCTGCCCTCATGGAGCTTAGATTCTCGTTGATACACATGTAATTAATAGTCGGAAAGAGAAGTTGAAGGGGGAAAAGAGAAACAGGAGTTTGGGGGAGACAGAAAGATACCCACAAGAGAAGAGAGGAGTAATTATGGAGAAATAGCACGATAAAAGTGAGGCAGTGGGTACAGAGGTCTCAAAGTGAGGGAACTGGGAGTGCGAGAGGCTTCGGGGAGGGGGAGGGCCACTGGGACCCCAATGAAAACTCTTCACAAATCGCTCTTTGGCCCAGGGTCAGCCTCACCTGGACGCAGAACCCAAGAGGTGCTCCAAGTGGTGGAGCAGGTGACTGGAAGGAAGGACGACTCACCCAGGAGTTCGAAGGTCATGACACGGGCCCAGAAAGCAAGGGCTGAACGTGCCCCAAAGCCTGCACCGGAGGGTAAGGCTGGCGATGGAATTTGTCACCTGGATGCTCCGGGTGGGTGGGGCTCCCGTGGAGCAGGCACAGGGTGACGCAGATGCATGAAGTTACTAACGGAAGGAGGGGGCAGACGAATGGGCGTGAAGACAGAGCAAGAGTCTCTCAGTCTGGGGGTGGCTGTTGGGAGAGGTAACGGTGTTCTCAGGGTGCAGGTCGCCTCAGCTGTGCCCTGCAGAACCCGATCCCCACTCCCCCGGGTCTACTGTTTACATTTCTATCAGCAGAGCAACCTCTGCTCCACAGAGTCTGGGGGCTCCTCTCTGATTCGGGCGGATCCAGTGACGGGAGTGGCATCAGACTTCGAAGTGGACACATTCTCTGTTTTATTTCTTAATGGTTTATTTCTGGAAGTGAAGTAGATTGGTCAGTGGGTCTGCATATTTAAAATTATCCCATACTGGGAATTCCCTGGCGGTCCGACTCTGTGCTCTCACTCCAGAGGGCCTGGGTTCAGTCCCTGGTTGGGGAAATAAAATCCCACAAGCGTCAAGGCCAAAAACGAAACTAAACTAAAATAATAAACTAAACTAATCCCATACTGATGATCAAATTGTTGCCAGTTTAGACTCCCATGAATGCGGTGTGGACACCCTCTTCCCTACATCTTCACGAACACCAGAAATAACAAGACTTTTCTGTTTGTCGAACGTAAAGGCCAAGAATGATAGTCCACCAGTGTTTTCCTTGGAATTTCTTTGTGCTCTGTGAGTGGTTAAATATGCTTTGGAAGGTCACAGTACTGCTCACCAGCATCTCAGAAGGTCACACACCTCTGCCCTGTGGACTCAGGAATGGCCTCGTGACTTGGCCAAAGAAATGTGGGTGGAAGTGAGAGGGCTACTTTCAAGCCAAAGCTTGAAGAACTTTTTCTAAAAAGGGCCAGAGGGTGAATAATTTAGGCTTTGCTGGCCATAAAGTCTCTACTGCAGCTATTCAATGCTGCCATTGTAGCGTGAAAGCAGCAGAGACAAAAATATAAACAAGTGGGCCTGGCTGCGCTCTAATAAAACATTAATACCAAAACAGGCATTGGGGGCCCCCCTGGTGGCACAGTGGTTAAGAATCTGCCTGCCAATGCAGGGGACACGGGTTCGAGCCCTGGCCTGGGAAGATCCCACATGCCGCAGAGCAGCTAAGTCCGTGCACCCCAACTACTGAGCCTGCGTTCTAGAGCCCGCGAGCCACAACTACTGAGCTCACGTGCCACAACTACTGAAGCCTGCATGCCTAGAGCCCGTGCTCCACAGCAAGAGAAGCCACCACAATGAGAAGCCCGCGCACCGCAACGAAGAGTAGCCCCTGCTCACGCCACCAGAGGAAGCCCGCGCACAGCAACGAAGACCCAAAGCAGCCAAAAATAAATAATAAATAAATTTATTAAAAAAGAAAAAGACAGGCATTGGGCTGACTTGGCCCTTGGGCCGTAGTTTGCCGACACCTGTAATAAACCACTGGGATTTAGGAGAATCATAGGTGACTACAGCGTTATCTAGCCTGTGTTTACTAAGATGCCTGTTTTTTAAACACATTTTTCTTCAGAATGTTTTCTTTTGAAGGTCCCCTATTCCTATTTGCCTATTTTTATATATGACTCTTCTTTTTTTGTTGTTTCATCAATTTGGGAGATTAACCCCTTGTTGCTGCGATTTTCTTATTTTGTTTTTGTCTTTTACTTGAGAAGTTTTTGGCTGTGGAGGGTTTCGATTTTTTGGTTTGGTTTGGTTTTTGGGTGTTTTTGGCCATGCTGTGTGGCTTGTGGGATCTTAGTTGCCGGACCAGGGATTGAACCTGGGCCCATGGCAGTGAAAGCGCGGAGTCCTAACCACTGGACCGCCAGGGAATTCCCAAGAGTCTTAGGCACATCAGTTTGTTTTTTCCAGTATGGTTTATGTCAGAGTTTCTCAGCTTTTGCACTGTTGTTATTTGGGGCCAGTTAATTCTGGTTGCAGAGGCTGTGCTATGCGTTGTGACACGTCAGCAGCATCCCTGGCGTCCACCCATCAGACGGCAGTAGCGCCCGCCTCCCAGTCTGGCAAAAAGATTTCCTAACATTTCCAGATATCCTCTGCGGGCAAAATCACCCATCATTGAGGATCACTGCTTTATGCCCTGTACTTCTGCCTTAAAAAGCCCTTTCTATGTAATATTTATAAGGCTACATCCTTTATTTACTTCTAGTATTTGTATTAAGTATATATATATATATGTAATATTGTTATATATTAATATATATTAATTTGTGAAAATTTGCCTTCTGTAATACGTTTAACCTTCCCATCTATTACCTGGAGCTTGCTATATTTTTTTTTGGTCAATGCTATAATTTTTCTTTCATAAGGACTCCTGTCTCTCTTGCTCTCCAAACTGGTAGAAAGACAGAAAAAATTACTTTGAGATAGTGACACATAAAGCACGTAAATCTATGTTTCCAGTTATAAATGACTATTAATTGTTTTCTTTTTAGAAAAGGGAAGGATAAAAGATGTCTGTTCAAGTGCAACAACAAGTTGTCACAGAAATATTCCCATAAAGGGTAAGTAAGTGAGAGGCAGGGCCTCGCCCTCAGGCTCCCCAGGGCCCTGGCCTGCTGTGCTGGTCAGGGCTGCACGCCTGGTCTCTGGGGGTGAGCACCCCGTTGCTTCTGCCCCCCTGCGCTCTGGTGTGTCTCTTGGGGACACAGTCCTCCTCTCCCTCCTTCTCCTTCCCCTCTTCCTCCGCTCCTTGAATTCATTTTCCCTCTCGTTTTTTTTCTTAAAGCATTGCCATATTTTTTAAATATTTATTTATTCATTTATTTGGTTGCGCTGGGTGTTAGTTACGGCAGGCAGGTTCCTTAGTTGCAGCTTGCGGGCTCCTTAGTTGTGGCACGAGAACTACTAGTTGCGGCATGAAAGTGGGATCTAGTTCCCTGATCAGGGATCGAATGCAGGCCCCCTGCATTGGGAGCGTGGAGTCTTATCCACTGTGCCAACGGGGACGTCCCTCCCTCTGCTTTTATAACACACTTCTTGGGCATTATCTCTGGTCACTCTCCCTTCCCTCTTTAGACGCCAGCCACACTGGCCTTTTTTCTCCGTTAACTTATTACTGAAGTATAACAGGTGCTACCCAATCTGGGGTCCACAGACTGGTGACATCTACAAGCCTGCTCGCCGCAGGTCTGCAAAAATCAGGAGCTTGTAAATCAGCTGTGACTCTGAGCACACTGGTTTCCTAGCAAGACCCCAGTGGAAACAGCAGTGCGTTGATTTCTATTCTGGTCAGATTCCTGTCTCATCGCAGGCCGGCATCTTGAGGAGCACTGATGCACCGTGCTTGTGGAAAAATGCAGGTACCTACTGTACAGCTTCAGGAATGAATACAAAGGGAAAGGCCACACGTACCCAGCACCCAGGTCAAGAAATAGAACATAATCCACACCCATATTCCAATCCCTACCCAGAGCCCCAAGGGTCGCCAGCAGGCTGATTTCTCTGAGCATCGTCACTTTGACATGAACGCTTCACCCTCCATCCTTCTCAGGGCCTGCTCAGTATGTCTCCTCCCTCCTTCACACGCTGCGTCCCCAAAGCCAACCCCCTCGCCCTCCTTCCTCCTTTGTTACACAGCCTCCGGGTCACCTTGAACAAAGCCTTCTCTGACCCAGCAGGCAGAGGGTATTTTCTCTTGGTTGCTCTTGTCACAGGTATCATTTGTTTCTGATAGTATCAGATCTCTTTTTTAAAAAATTTATTTTATTAAAGTAGAGTTGGCTTACATTGTTGTGTTAATTTCTACTGTACAGCAGAGTGATTCAGTTAGGTATACATGTACATGTATCTGTTCTTTTTCAAATTTTTTTCTCATTTAGGTTGTTAGATAATATTGAGCAGAGTTCCCTGTTCTAGACAGTAGGTTCTTGTTGGTTATCCATTTTATGTTTTTCTATTTACTTATTTTAACATCTTTATTGGAGTATAATTGCTTTACAATGGTGTGTTAGTTTCTGCTTTATAACAAAGTGAATCAGCTATACATATACATGTATCCCCATATGTCCTCCTTTTTGTGTCTCCCTCCCACCCCCCCATCCCACCCCCCTAAGTGGTCACAAAGCACCAAGCTGCTCTCCCTGTGCTATGCGGCTGCTTCCCACTAGCTAGCTATTTTACATTTGGTAGTGCACATATATGTCCACGCCACTCTCTCACTTCGTCCCAGCTTACCCTTTCCCACCCCCCGTCCTCAGGTCCATTCTCTAAGTCTGCGTCTTTATTCCTGTCCTGCCCCTAGGTTCCTCAGAACCTTTTTTTTTAGATTCCATATATATGTGTTAGCATACGGTATTTGTTTTTCTCTTTCTGACTTACTTCACTCTGTATGACAGTCTCTAGGTTATCCATTTTAAATATAGCAGCGTGTTAATGTCAATCCCAAACTCCCAAACTATCCCTCCCCCCGGACCCTTCCCCCCTGGTAACCATAAGTTCGTTCTCTAAGACTGTGAGTCTGTTTCTGTTTTATCACAAGTGTAATTAACTGTCTGTGTACATCCTGTTCACTGAGCGAAACTCAAATGAGGTCAGAACATGGGTCCATCTTGCTCATTGCTCGATGTCTCCTCTGTGCCTTGCGGTTTGTGCTTAAATAACTGTCAAATCAATACATTATTCATTCTTCCTCATCAAGTATGAATACCAATATCAGGGCCTCCAGTGACGCGTACAGTGAACTTCATGAAATTGAAAAAGTGCCCCTTCCACCATACACTTGACCTACGTCTGTCAGAGCTGATTCTTGAGACCAGGCCCTTTGCTGCCCTCTGCTGGAAGAACGTGGAAGTGTGCAAATAGATTACAGCTCTGATGTGACTAGGAGCTCCCCACCCTCCCACTGTAAAGGGGAAATCCTTATTCAGTGCACATCCCACACTACCATATGCAGAGGCCCTGCCAACAATATATAAGTGTGTACAGCACTTTACAGTTGGCAAAGCACTTTGTTCCACATTTTGCCATTTAATCCTCAAAGAGGTATTTTTCGGTCCATTTTCCAGATTCAATTAGAGCATAAAAGACTTGCATGAGCTAAAATCAACCTAGGTGTTTTAATCCCAAGTCCTTTGTCCTTTACACTAAAAAAAAAAAAAAAAAAAAAAAAAAACTCCTAGTGTTTTTAGGAAACACAAGTAGGAAGCAAAGAGTCCAGGCAAAGACTGAGAGCTCTCCATCCGCATCAGCTTTTCCTGTCTCCTTAGCACCTCCACCCTGGCTGTGACTTCTGATTTAACGTCATGTCTCTGTGCTGTTATCCATCATATGATGTGGAGTCTTGTTGCGGTGTTTCTGATGCCATGGAAAGAGCATGAGACTAGGGGCCGGCACGTCCGGATTCCAGTGCTACCTCCGTCTCACACAGTGTGGTGACCGCCAGCAATTCTCTCTCCAAATCTGCGCCTGAGTCCCTCATCTATAACATGAGGATCATTGCCGTTGCCTTTCTTTTGTTACAGGTTGTAGTGAAAATAAACAATAGAATGTGTGTGCTGCTTTCACTATTCCCGTAACTAGCGCTTCTCCTCCAGCCACTGCATCCCCCGCCAGGCCCCTTGTGTACAAGTCATAGAGCTCCAGCCTTCTCCCCAGGCCATGTCTTTGCAGGCATAGTTTCACCCTGTGCCTTTTCTCTATGTTCTGTAAGAACCCCTGTACTTAGTCTTCCCAATCACACTAGGTTTTTTTCCATTCTGCTTTTCCTTGTTCTTTTCATTTCCTCCACCAGGCTTTTCATCTCTATGAACTCCCTTTGTTCTTCCCCCGCCCCCGCCGTGCAGCATGTGGGATCTTAGTTCCCCCCCCAGGGATCGCACCTGGGCCCCATGCATCGGAAGCTCCAAGCCTTAACCACTGGACCGCCAGGGAAGTCCCTCCCTTTGTTCTTTAATTGCTGACTTCTAGCAGACTTGCCACGTTTGCTCACATTTACTAGAAGTGACCTAATAGATGCGGGAGAGCTCCACAGAGGCCTCGCCCTCAGGCTTCCATCCTTAGAGGCTTGTTTACTGAGATGAGGGTTGAGATGGAGCCAAATGCAGGATCATCAGGACCACATCGGAAAGCTGTCTCCCTTCCTTTGCAACATCTTTGTCTGCTTTTGGTATCAGGGTGATGGTGGCCTCGTACAATGAGTTTGGGAGTGTTCCTCCCTCTGCTATATTTTGGAAGAGTTTGAGAAAGGTAGGTGTTAGCTCTTCTCTAAATGTTTGATAGAATTCGCCTGTGAAGCCATCTGGTCCTGGGCTTTTGTGTGTTGGAAGATTTTTAATCACAGTTTCAATTTCAGTGCTTGTGATTGGTCTGTTTATATTTTCTATTTCTTCCTTGTTCAGTCTCAGAAGGTTGTGCTTTTCTAAGAATTTGTCCATTTCTTCCAGGTTGTCCATTTTACTGGCATATAGTTGCTTGTAGTAATCTCTCATGACCCTTTGTATTTCTGCAGTGTCAGTTGTTACTTCTCCTTTTTCATTTCTAATTCTATTGATTTCAGTCTTCTCCCTTTTGTTCTTGATAAGTCTGGCTAATGGTTTATCAATTTTGTTTATCTTCTCAAAGAACCAGCTTTTAGTTTTATTGACCTTTGCTCTTATTTGCTTCATTTCTTTTTCATTTATTTCTGATCTGATCTTTATGATTTCTTTCCTTCTGCTAACTTTCAGGGGTTTTTGCCAATATCACTGATGAACATAGATGCAAAAATCCTCAACAAAATACTAGCAAACAGAATCCAACAGCACATTAAAGGGATCATACACCATGATCAAGTGGGGTTTATCCCAGGAATGCAAGGATTCTTCAATATATGCAAATCAATCAATGTGATACACCATATTAACAAATTGAAGGAGAAACACCATATGATCATCTAAATAGATGCAGAGAAAGCTTTCAAAAAAATTCAACACCCATTTAGGATAAAAACCCTCCAGAAAGTAGGCATAGAGGGAACTTGCCTCAACATAATAAAGGCCATTTATGACAAACCCACAGCCAACATCATCCACAATGGTGAAAAACTGAAACCATTTCCACTAAGATCAGGAACAAGACAAGGTTGCCCACTCTCACCACTATTATTCAACATAGTTTTGGAAGTTTAGCCACAGCAATAAGAGAAGAAAAAGAAATAAAGGAATCCAACTCGGAAAAGAAGAAGTAAAGCTGTCACTGTTTGCAGATGACATGTTACTATACATAGAGAATCCTAAAGATGCTACCAGAAAACTACTAGATCTAATCAATTAATTTGGTAAAGTAGGAAAACTGGTGAACAGAAATCTCTGGCATTCCTATACACTAATGATGAAAAATCTGAAAGTGAAATTAAGAAAACACTCCCGTTTACCACTGCAACAAAAAGAAGAAAATACGTAGGAATAAACCTACCTAGGGAGACAAAAGACCCATATGCAGAAAATGACAAGACACTGATGAAAGAAATTAAAGATGATACAAATAGATGGAGAGATATACCATGTTCTTGGATTGGAAGAATCAACATTGTGAAAATGACTCTACTGCCCAAAGCAATCTACAGATTCACTGCAATCCCTATCAAACTACCACTGGCATTTTTCACAGAACTAGAACAAAAAAATCTCACACTTTGTATGGAAACACAAAAGACCCTGAATAGCCAAAACAATCTTGAGAAATAAAAACGGAGCTGGAGGAATCAGACTCCCTGACTTCAGACTATACTACAAAGCTACAGTAATCAAGACAGTATGGTGCTGGCACAAAAACAGAAATATAGATCAATGGTACAGGATAGAAAGCCCAGAGATAAACCCACACACATATGGTCACCTTATCTTTGATAAAGGAGGCAAGAATATACAGTGGAGAAAAGACAGCCTCTTCAATAAGTGGTGCTAAGAAAACTGGACAGCTACCTGTAAAAGAATGAAACTAGAACACTCCCTAACACCATACACAAAAATAAACTCAAAATGGATTAAAGACCTAAATGTAAGGCCAGACACCATCAAACTCTTAGAGGAAACATAGGCAGAACACTCCATGACATAAATCACAGCAAGATCCTTTTTGACCCACCTCCTAGAGAAATGGAAATAAAAACAAAAATAAACAAATGGGACCTAATGAAACTTAAAAGCTTTTGCCCAGTAAAGGAAACCATAAACAAGATGAAAAGACAACCCTCAGAATGGGAGAAAATGTTTGCAAATGAAACAAATGACAAAGGATTAATCTCCAAAATTTACAAGCAGCTCATGCAGCTCAATATCAAAAAAATAAACAACACAATCCAATAATGGGCTGAAGACCTAAATAGACATTTCTCCAAAGAAGATATACAGATTGCCAACAAACACATGAAAGGATGCTCAACATCACTAATCATTAGAGAAATGCAAATCAAAACTACAATGAGATATCATCTCACACCAGTCAGAATGGCCATCATCAAAAAATCTACAAACAATAAATGTGGAGAAAAGGGAACCCTTTTGCACTTTTGGTGGGAATGTAGATTGATACAGCCACTATGGAGAACAGTATGGAGGTTCCTTAAGAAACTAAGAGTAGGGGCTTCCCTGGTGGTGCAGTGGTTGAGAGTCCGCCTGCCAATGCAGGGGACACGGGTTTGTGCCCCGGTCCAGGAAGATCCCACATGCCACAGAGCGGCTGGCCCCGTGATCCATGGCCGCAGAGCCTGCACGTCCAGAGTCTGTGCTCTGCAACGGGAGAGGCCACAACAGTGAGAGGCCCGAAACCGCAGAAAAAACAAAACAAACAAACAAAAAAACCTAACAGTAGAACTACCATACAACCCAGCAATCCCACTACTGGCCATATACCCTGAGAAAACCATCATTCAAAAAGAGTCATGTACCACAATGTTCATTGCAGCTCTATTTACAATAGCCAGGACATGGAAACAACCTAAGTGTCCATCATCAGATGAATGGATAAAGGAGATGTGGCACATATATAAATGGAATATTAGCCATTAAAAGAAACAAAATTGAGCTATTTGTAGTGAGGTGGATGGACCTAGAGTCTGTCATACAGAGTGAAGTAAGTCAGAAGAGAAAAACAAATACCATATGCTAACACATGTATATGGAATCTAAGAAAAAAAAATGGTCATGAAGAACCTATGGGCAAGACGGGGATAAAGATGCAGACCTACTAGAGAATGGACTTGAGGATATGGGGAGGGGAAAGGGTAAGCTGGGACAAAGTGAGAGTGGCATGGACATATATACACTACCAGACGTAAGATAGATAGCTAGTGGGAAGCAGCTGCATAGCACAGGGAGATCAGCTCGGTGCTTTGTGACCACCTAGAGGGGTGGGATAGGGAGGGTGGGAGGGAGGGAGACGCAAGAGCGAAGAGATATGGGAACATATGTATATGTATAACTGATTCACTTTGTTATAAAGCAGAAACTAACACACCATTGTAAAGCAATTATCCTCCAATAAAGATGTTTAAAAAAAAAATCCAAAAAAAAAAGAAGCAGCTCCTGTGGTCTGTCTCTAATGAATTCACCCACAACGAGGCTGCGGGGAGGGGAAGCAGGAATTGCTGATGTTTGTGTTAACCCTTTTACAATTCCTTCTCCTGAATCAGAACCCCAGATCCTTACTCAGGGGCTGTGAGTTGCCAAATCCCTCCATAGGCAATGTGCAAACTAGTCTAGAGCTCTCCAGGGTTTTCTTTTACTCATAGAGGAAGAAGCAGGGGAACGATCAAACGATGAAGACTTACACTATCCCTTCAGTGATAACTGCCTCACTCACCCCCATCTTGGTTTGAATCAGGCAATAAAATCATAGACAGAGAAATTTTCTCCAGCTACGTGAATGCAAAGAAATATTTTGGGTAGGCAACTCCCATCAGCACAGAGGGATAAACAGGATGCTTATGGAATAAGGAACTTCAGGTGATAGTCAATGAATTTGTGAATTTAAACACATTCACTGAAGAAGCACAGTATGTTTTATTAAATTATTTTATTTGATGTAGTGTTGGCAGGGGTAGTTTTGTTTATTAGAGACCCCTCTGTTCACATATCTCATCTGCTACTCAAAATGGAAGACTTCCTGTGAATTAACCAGAGGACGCTCCCTACTGCCACTCATGTTATTATTATTACTATTATTAGTAATAATAGTAATATATCATTACTATTATTATTAGAATTCATGAAAAATTCATGAGGGAGACAGAATGAAGACTGAGGAACGCTAATCTGTTCTTTTCTACTTTCAGAAAAACCTGAAGATGAAACTCTGGATTTTCACTCTCCTAAACTTCCTGTGACCTGTGGTAAGGCAAAGGGGATTTTATATAAGGAGAAAATGAAACAAGGTGAGTTCCTCGATCTTCTGCTCTTTGGAAACCCTAGATGAAGGAATCACTAGAAGGGAAGGAAATATCCACGTGTGTCATTGTTCAGCACATGGACCCTGCAGGCTAGGCTGCAGAAAAAGCAATGCTTTTTAAGAAGG